TCGAAGAAATTTAAATTTACTGGAAATTTTGCATTTCTTGGGGAACAATTTATTCAAAATTTTGTTACCATGCCAACTAAGCTGGATTTATGTGTAGGTCACTCTCTGTGTCACTTTTCCCTGGGGACGATCTACTCCGCCCTGAACAACACGCCGGTTCACAGGAGCTTTGACGAGACGCAGGAACACTTCAACTTTCACGATGCCCTCAGATCCATCGCGGCCACGGCGAGGAGTGAGTCGAAACAAGTTGTGGCTTAAATTCAAGACACATGTAATCTGTACACGTGTGTAGGGTTTCGTACATATCGCATTTCCCGCCTAAAATAGTTTGGGGGAAAAATGAAAAAAACGGATTTTATATTTTTTTTAATTTCTCTCACAATGATGGTATTTCAGTGTATGTTCTTCGGTTTTGAACAAAAAATCTGTACACGTATTTATGTAGAGTTTTGTATTTATTATATATCCCGGCTAGAAAATTTTGGGGAGAAGTGAGAAAAAAAGACAAGGCGGGATTTATAAATTTATAAATTACTCTTGCAATGAAGCTCTTTCAGCGTATCCTCTTCGGTTTTGAGCACAAAATCTACACAAATTTATGCAGTGTTGCTCCCACAAACTCCCACTCCCACGTGGTAAAAACCGATTCGGTTCGAACACAGAAATCGTCATAACCATAACTTTTACTTAGGACCACCCTCCACTCTTGGCCTGTTGACGGAATGGGTTTGAAAATGATGATGTATACACGAGGTCGCGGAGAAAGTAGGGACTTTCACCCACTTCTCTCCTCGATTTGAGGGCCTTGCGAAAAGTATGTGGTCAAATTTTTGGTACGGCAGATGGCACACCCATTCATTGCTCCCTTAATATTTATAAAGATCTTCTGAGACATTTGCATTTCCCAGCCAGCTTTGACCGGTTCGTTATAAATACCAGTCTCTGAACTTCTTGCGGTGTAATTAAGCTAATCAAGTGGGCTATTCTGGTAAACAAAAGTAGCCGAGGAGGAGGAGGAGGTTAATTTAATGACGTTTTGTGTAGGATTATTGACCTGGTAGAAACATAGGATTCAAGTCTGGGGAGAAATCTGGGATTTCTGGATCTAATTCTGGATTCTCAGAGAGAGTGAAAGCCAAGTCAAGCCAGGCTTTTGTCTTTCTCTTTACTCACGCTGATTTGATCCTCCCGTTGAGAGAAGGAATAATCAAAGAAAATCTTGTACCGGGGAGGGTTCTGCAAAAGTGGTGTCTTCAACGTGCACATAAGGCACAATTCGTGAAAAACATCGAATTCGTAGCGAATCTTGAATTGTAGCGAATTCAGAGGTCATTTCGCTGCGAATTTCTGGACGATTTTTGTGCCGAGCCCGCTAGGATGTGCAGTGCACCACGATATGCTACCTTGGGGGTTTTGGTGGGTTTTAGGGCGAGAAATATCAGCAAAGCCCACGGGTTTTTGGGGTAGTCAGGGTTTTCAAATTCAAAATACGAGTAATATCTGATAACATGACAATTAGTTTTAGTTTTCCAAATTTAGTATCAATTAGTTTTCCAAATTTGATTGAATGTACGAAAACTATGAATTTTCACAAAATGTGTACGTTTGATGCTCGAATGCTCGAATTTCTTTGAGCAAAAAAAATTCATTTCGTATCATTGAAATATTAGGAAAATATGCATATCCGTAGTCTTAAAAAAATGCCGGAAATAATTTAATGTCTGTAAACCTAGAAACATGTTCAAATATGTAACATATTTAGAACATTTTGTGCTCTATAGGATTTAAGCAACACGCGGACAAAGTTGACCATCAGTCGTCATCAAATGAAAATGTTTAAACTAAATAAATACCCGTGCTTTGATTTGAGTTGATTTTTAATGAAAAAAGTGTAATTTCGCAAATTGAAAATATTTACATTCTGATAAAAAACCATACCTACTTTTTCCTAGGAATTTATCCTCTGAACTTAATTTTAAGCCGTCTCGTCTGCACGGCCCCGCTGAAGAATTGGTTGTTTCACCAAAATGAAAATATTTTGTCCTCTTGCTTCCTTTGTTAAGGCAATCGTTTCTCTTTGTTTACGTAGCCGAGGTTTTGGTGGCTATTGATTCAGCGGCGGGGAAGTCAACATTGAGGAAGGAAAATGACCACAATGTCGGTATAATGGGTTCCACTCGATGATATTTGCGATTCGCCATGCTTTTAGTTTTCATTAGACGGACGGATTTTCGCTCAGGTGGGCAATTTCTGGTCGAAAGAGAGAGCGATTTCTATTTGCAATTGGAGGATGAAATAAATGTCAAGGTTACGGTGGCGGCGGGATGGGCTTAATTGGGGTTGGCCTGCTTTTGTGGGAGGGAGGTTTCGGAGCGCTAAGTGGGACGCTGCGTCGTTTGTGCGGAGAACAGTGAAAATTAGTGAAAATGTTGAGCCTCATTTCAACCCAAATTGAATTCAGATTAGAGTAAAGAATTAGGTAGGTCAGAAAATGGTGGTTGATTACCTCATGAATAATTATTCGAACAAATTTGAATTTCGGGGTAAACAAGTGTTACGAAACAGGGTTGTAATCACATTAATGAAAGTGTTATATATAAGTGTACAAAATTTACAAATTTGCAAATCTTGAAGGGTCATTGTTAAAATCAATACAGTTTTAATCATTCTCGGCTCTGGGAATGCTTTTTAAAATTTGTAGAGCGAGGAGTTGCTAATTTAAAAAATGTACACACCAGATTTTGGCAGATTAAAAAAAAAGAGATTTCAAGTTTAAGATGCCTTCAGAAAATTGGGCCTCATCGAAACTGGCTTAAAAAACTCGCCATTCAATTAATCAACTTACTGACTACTAATTTGTCATCCAGAATTATAAAATAAATTCCCAAAACCGAGGAATGATTAAAAATGTGTGAATTTTAACAATTTTGATGATGAGTCATCCAGTCATATGTTAAATACATGTCATGTCAAGCTTTTTTGGTTTCAAATCCCGCATGAAAATCGAGTAAGGCACAACTTGCTTTACTTTTTACCGCACAATCACAACTGTGGGCAATTATCCTGCCAAGGAGAATGGACCAATTTTCATTCACCGGGTCGATTTTCATCATTGATATTTCAAAAAATAATGTAATTAGTATAAATAGATTTTAATTTAGTGAAAGGTTCCATTTATACGGTAAACAAAAATCTGGTCGTCACGAGGACACGAAACTTTGACCTTTTGAGTCTTTTAAACCAGTAATTAGTTTCTCTAATTAGTCGCCTATTCTTCCTACACGCGTTACGTGGGTGAAAACAGTATGTGCAGAATAATAACATGTCATTTCGTTGCATAGATACGCAGCGAGGTGGAAAATCACCCTCAAAATCGCATCACTTCCAAAACTTTCTCTTTACCAAACGTATCGAATTATTTGGTCAAATATGATATTTCTGAGCTTCGTATCAGTATTTGGTTTCTTGCACTTCAGAAAATTTTCAAGTTTTTTTTCAAAATCTTCAAAAGATTGCTCGATTTCTTTTAGTTTTTTTTGTTCGCCTGAAAAAATTTTGCAGACAAACAACAACTTGTTGAGATGCATTTCTGGAGAAAGGAAGGCGGATGTCGGAGATGGAGATTGATATGCAATTCAAATCAGATCCTTCTTCTCCGGAAATGTGGATAGAGATGGAGTGAGACATGTACGAGTCGTGACGTGATTTGATATCGAAAATCAAAAAAATTGGTGTGTAGTCTTTGCATTTTCGAGAGAAAGGGGGGGCTCTGCGGGAGGGATGAGGATTTGAGGCAGAGACATAAATTTATAATCTCACCCTACCCGTATTTCTGTAAAAAATGCAAATTTCTAAATCTAAATTTACGAGTTTTCAGATAAGTGCTAATTTCACACGGCAATGTAAAGTTAATTGTTCGTATTTACTACAAAATTGCCAATTTGAAAAAATCACTTTTGAGGAAATATATTGTGAAAAAAATGGTAGGGAGTTGGACGTTTTTAAATTTGTAATTTTGTAGTATCAAAAATTAACTTTGTATTAAAGTAGAAAACGTTGCATTTACCTCAAAACTCGTGAAATTGATGCCATTTGAGAAATTTGCATTCAAATGGATTGAATTGAGGTAAAGTGAGATTTAAAATCGATGATAGCATTATTCACCTTAAGGTTGACCCAGTTTGGGTTGAAATGACAATTTATAAGCACTGTCAGTGTGTTGGGATTCGTTGTGCATGGCCCGTCACGTCCGGGATGAAGGGAAGTGGAGGAGGCAGATTTTGGTGGATAGCTTTCTCCACAAATAGACACGACTTTCTCCGCGGAAATGCATATCCACATACATTTCATCCACCTACACAAACTGGTTGACACTTAATGCACCATGGTTTCCGATGTTTTCAAGAAATTTATAAAAACATGACGTTTTCTCTCAAAATGAGCATATCTTGCAAATCTCAGAAATTGAACATAACAACATAACTTGCCAAGTTGTGCGAAATTTCGCAACACTTTTCTTATAAAACATAGAATTTTTTTGTAAACTTACCTAGCATGTTTTTATTTCACAAACTCATCCTCCGCATTAATTTCTTTAGAAATTGGAAATAATCCCTGGAAACAAAAATACAACAGGACTATCTGTGCAAATTTGTGAAATCATATTTTGCTAATCCTGTCACGACACGAAGTTTTTGAGTTTTGCAAGTTTGCAAATTAATTGAGCTGTGATGGGAAGTTGACGCCGATTTTTGGAAAGACACGAAAATAAAACAAGCCAAATTTTTCTTAAAAAAGCCTACGCAGGTTTTCATCAAAATTTGAATTCAGGACGAAAATCGTGACAAGATCAGGTGTAAAAATTCATGGCACAATTTTACCCAAAATGCAGAACCCTGTCTACTTTCATACATAACCAAACACAAAGACACGCACGCACGACATAAAATTTCCTTATAAAAAAGAATGAAATTTGATTTTTTGTTTATAAATTTCAGTCGTCGTCCTGTGCGCCTCACCGCGCAAAGTGCGAGACATTCTCTTGGCTGCCGAGGAGTTGAAAATGGTCTCGTCCGGAGAATACGTTTTCTTCAATGTGGAACTCTTCACAAAGTAAGTCATAAATAAACCACGTGATTTCCCGAGTGCAAATTTGAAATGGTTTTTCCTGCAGGAATTTGGCATGATTTTGTGCATAAGTTGTGTCCAATTTTCTGCAGGAAAATCATTTGTAGAGCGATTTTTGCAGAAGACTATACCATTATGCATATGCGATTCTGCAGAATTTAAAAAAAATTAAAATTTTCGGCAGGATTATGCAAAAAAAACATGCAGGATAACGATATTTTCTCGATTCGATGACTGCAGAATTCATTTTCCCGACTTTGTGCAAAAATTTTACAGATTCACTTTATGCAAAGCGATTTGTGCAGAAACGTATACATAATTTTGCACACATGCTTCTGCAGAATATATAAAACTCTTAGATATTTTGGGCAGGATTATCTACAAAAAATGTATATGCAGAACACAATATGCATCCAGCTTTTGTCGCTAACTGCCGAATTCGGCACAGTATTTTCTACTCGGGAACTACTATTCTAGATTCTTTTTTTTGCATCCATTCCGCACCATCCCACGTGACGCTTTGTTCCTTGTGAGGTGAAAGTTGGTCCGAATGTTGCCCAATAAATAAGGAGGGCACGTTTTCCTCTCTAAAAAAAGTTAAATCGCCCCACAACTTTCAATTTTGTGGAACACTTTTCCTGTTGGAAAGTATTTTTGAAAGTTAGGGAAAGTGGGGAAACATGTCGGTCGGTTTGGTGGGGAAAGTGGACGCATAGTAATTGCGATTTTGGGTGAGGGTCCTGAGAAAGGAAAATCACAATAAATAAGATTTCCATGCATGTAAATACAAATTCTGGGAGAGTCATGGTTAGATTGGATGCGGGGGTGGGAGGAAAGAATGTCACGGTTTTTGCATATTTTCACTCTGACGTGGTAAGTTTGCTATTTTTTGCAACACTTGGAGAAAGTTGGGTTATTATAGGGCGTGATTACGATTGAGAAAATTTACCCAGTGTGAAAACAGAATTTTTCTCAGTTTTGCTCTCCGTTAAAAATAAATGGGACAAATTGTGATTTTCCAGTTTTTACCACCATTCAAAACAATTTAGAAATCCACCGTAAACCCCACTTTTACCCACCTGGGAGCAATGTGGTATGTTATGTACACCCAAAAAACGAAGTAATTCCAATTTTTAATGTCACATTGTCTCCACGTGTTCATTAAGCACGTGTGCTGCTCTTACCAATACCACAGAATTTCGTTTTTTCCATTTTTCCCATAGTAAATCCCACTTTTTCCCACCTGCCATGAGAAACCCCTATTTTAGCATGTGTCACACCGTCTCCACGTGTCCCGTTCTTTAGGCACGTCCCCCCATAACGTACAAGGACAACTAAACTCTCGTGGAGAAAGTATTGAATGGAAAAGTTGTTTATTTGTGTGCTTCCTCTTCGACAAGAATGCGATGAGAATCGCACTTTCCCCAGGATTGAGACGTGTCAAAGATTTGTATAGTCGCACCCATTATTACGCAAATTCTTCCCCTTCTTTCTTCTCCCGGCCGCATTAGTAGTTTTTTCTAATCTCGAGAGAAATCAGTGCCAATTCATGAAAGAGAAAGGGAAAAAAGTATGTTGGATATTTCTTCCTACTTACAATGAGGAGGAGGAAGTGAGTGAAGGGAAGGACCAGTTTCCAATTTGTTGTCCATTTTTATACATGGATTTTCTGCAGCATCTGCAGAAAATTCTTGTGGAGATTAACGTATCGGTATTTATGGAAGATACAAGTTTCCGAGCACGGTTGTAGAATTTGACATAATTCAATAACCGAAAACATTAATGAAAATAGGTACAAAATGTGAAAAATTGTTTTATTTTAGTCTTTAACATGATTCAAAATATGTAGATAGAATGTAGGAAAAAGTGCATTTTGCATTCTTATTTCAGAGGTGATATTCCATCCTCGTCATATTCTGTCACTAACCCGAAACGAAATATTGCTAAAATATTTTTTAGCTGTAGAAGAAATTTTACTTGATTCCTACAATTTCAAAAAAATGATTAAAATTTTGATTTTCAGTCTGCAGAAAGGTTACAAACCGTGGGAGAATCGGAATGATACGGCGGAGAGGAATTTACGTGCGCGCCGCGCGTACGAAGCCGTCCTCACGGTCACCGTTCGCCCCCCGCCGGACAGCGAGGAGTACAACTCCTTCGACACCATGGTTAAGGAAAAGGCCATTTCCAAGTTCAACTTTTCCTACGGGGACGAACCTGTGAATCCCATCGTGACAGCGTTCTACGATGCCGTCATTCTGTACGCCATCGCGCTTAATGAAACCCTCAAAAACGGCGGGAATATTACGAACGGGTCCGAAATTACGAGGAGGATGAGGGGAAAGACGTTTCAAGGTGAGTTGTTTGTTACTCAGAATGGAGGTCTCCCAGCGTTTGTTGTCTGATTTTGGGCAAATTAGTGTCAATGGATTGCAAAAAGTACAATGAAATTTGTGATGGAAGCCATCTATTAATGTTTGGCGGAGATATTAGCATCCGAAGAGGAGAAGATGAGCCTTAGACTTGAGAAACTGTGCAATTTCCAAATTTTCTGTGCGTGTTCTCCTCTTCGGATGCAAATATCTCTGCAAAAAGTGTCCATTGAGAGATCGTGTCCTTTGCAGATTTCATGAGTTAACAATAAAGGAATATGTATATGGATTTAGCTAGAAAATGTGATTTTACATATTTACCAAGTTTGGCACATTTAGTATTCAATCGGATTTTTTATGTATTTGGGGAAACTTTAAGCCTCCGTAATTTATGTGTAGATACCACACATTTATTTGTATTTACGGTGCAACTAATTAATTGACCCCTTGCAGCGCTTCTAGTTTTGAGATTAGGGTTGCATCTTTCGCAATGTCTTTTCTTCTCATACATAAAACAGTGGGGGTATTAGTTACGAGTTCGCATCTTTAGTAACATTAGGAGAAAACAAGTTCGCAAAAATATTTGGCTTGAAAATTGGCACATCTTCTCTTCTAGTATTTAGTTTGCAATTTTTACTTCAAAATTATATTGTCATGTAAACATACGAACTCGTAAAAAATAACCCCGATGAATCCATCGAAAATTGTGGGTGGGGGTACAAGATTCATGGGAAAAAGGTTGGAAAAATTACATAAACGCGTTCTCTTGGAGGCGCAATTTCTCCAAAAATTATTTTTTTTTGCCAAAAATTTCTGGAAGGATAGAATGAAAATGTAATTTTATTTTTCCCCGGTGATTTGGTTTCTTTGAAATGCATTTATGTATGTACATCTCCTTTTGAGAGAAGCTTATTAATTACTTTTGGAGGGTGACCTACTTGGAATTTTGTGCTGATGCCGACGATGAAGAGGATGTAATCAACGGCTTCTTTCATCTATGTAGTCTCAAACCATGCGGTTTTGCACATGGCACTTTCTTCGTACTTCTCTGCACTCTTAACAATTTGGTGGCAATTTATTACCGGGCTGTAACGACCGCATATATGTGCATATGCGAACAAGTTAGTTTTAAATAATAAGCATCAAGTAAATATAGTAACTTTAAAGTTTTAATTTCTAGGGAAATTTAAACTTGCAAAAATAATTTACCAGGAAAATTTTGGAGTAAAGGCATTAAAATAATTATTTGTATGCCAAATGCAAGACTTCCGTGCTTGCGGTACTTTTCTAATTGCTGACGAACTTGAAATCTGTTAGTGACGCGATTAAAGCAACCAATGTATTAAATACTTAAGTATTTTTCTTAAAGGAAAGATTCAGTATCTTTTACGGGGAAAGTGAGACGGGTCCTTAATCCGGTGTCAATAGAGTATGCAATCTCATACATTCAAGGTCGACAGCAAAATTAGCACGTGGTGAAATTAAGCATATTAATTTCAAGTTATTATAGATAATCTGCCATTTTTTGAGATGAAAAGATTTGCACATTTTTTGGGAAGTATTTTTTTGCTAACATTTGCTTCATCCTTGATCAATTTTATGAGCTTTTTCAATCCACGTTTTGCCCATTTGGTAATAAGCTGTAATTCGGAGAATCACAAGTTCAAATGTGATATGCAAATAGGTTTTGTAAATTTTGTAAAATTGGGAAACTTTTGTTAACGACTTTTCCTTTCAGGAATCACTGGTAATGTGAGCATTGACGAGAACGGTGACCGAAACGCGGACTATTCCCTCCTCGACATGGACCCCGTCACGGGAGCTTTCCACGTAAGAATACATTTGTACAGTGGTGACCTTAAGTCAACACATTAGCTAATTGACCACCACTTCCGTCACAGGGGGCTGTGCATGATGGATTTGTTTCCCAAAGAGAATTTTGTCCCCTTTAAGTTCTGTAAAATCATCGTACGGTCCCCACTTTTTTATGTGCATGATGATTACAATAACCAGTAAAAGTAACCACTTTCAAGAAATAATGGGAGGAAAGTGGATTTTTGCAGCTATTTTGACCTGCAAGAAATGCAAGGCGTAAGAAACTACGTCCCGCCGCTTTAATTCATACGGCGCGTGGCAGGATGGCGCCTATTTTTTGCACTTTTTTGCAGTTTCTTGCACCTCGCATTTCTTGCGTTTCTTGCTTTGGAAATATGGCAAACTCGTAAAAAGCGAAAGACTAAAAATAACATTTCGTTCCACAGGTGGTGGCGCACTACTCGGGTCGGACGAAATCTATCATTGATGTGGAAGGGACGAAAATCCACTGGGCCGGGAATCGAGCCACCTGGCCGCCAGACACGCCTAAATGTGGCTTCGATGGGACCGGATGTCCGAGTAAGTGCAAATAAAGTGTGGCATTTTGGGACCATATTTGAAGTAATAATGACCAGAGGGTGGATATGCATTTATTTCGAAGTTTTTTATTTGATGGCGACCGACGGTCAAACTTTGTCGGTGTGTTCGCTAACTCGCATAGATCACGAAAATTGCAAAATATTAATTTTGCATATTGTCAAATATTTCTGGTTTTCAGACGCAAATGTTATTGAAAAAATGTTTTGTATATTTTTTTCAAAAATACATTTTGTAAATATTTCAACGATGTGAGACAAAATTTCCTTCTCAAAGTGATTGACCATTTTTGGACGTCCATTTTCGTGTATAATTCATGTACAAATTTTTTCTAACAAGTTTGTGAATTTTGAAAATTGTGTTAGGATCAAGGTTAGACCTCCCATTTTTCAAGTGACCAATACCCTTTTCATGAGAGAAAGTAAATTAAGAGGATAAAAATCTGATACGTTTTTTTAGCAAAATTGTCTCATTTATTCTTCACTCTTGACAGATTCATGTCCGAAGTGAGGAATAAATGGGTTTTAGAAATTCTTGACCATGAAACACGATGATTTTTAGGGATTTAAGCTAAAAATAAAGTCTTAAGTTCGTTTTCTTCTCCTTTTTGGGTTAGCCATGCCGAGATACGTGATCGTGGTGATCGTCCTCTCTTCCGCCCTGGTCATCATGCTCATCTCCTTCTTCTTCATTTACCGGTAAGCCGTCTCTTCCACCTTTTTTAAGCTTCTCCTCCATCGTCATTCATAATTGTGGGACGAAATGGTACGCAAGAGATAAATTATGCATCATGATGGCCGTGTAGAAAGATGGGTGGTTGGTGATCTCTAAATTTGGAGAGATCAAGTCAACGACCAGGGTGTTCTCGCCCCGGGTTTTATTGGGTTTTGTATACATACTCTGGTTTTACCTCAAACTAATAATATGGAGACACTTATTTAGGAAAAATTAAGGTTTCTGAGGAGTATTTCTTGAATATTTGTGTTAGTTTTGCTACAAATTGAACAAGGAAACATTTAGTAAAATATACGTATACGGATACTTTCTATAGAAAGGAGGTCTTCCTGCGGATGTTCTCCAATTTTGGGCAAACTGGAGTTAATCGATCCTAAATTTAACTAGCATATAATTTGGGAAGGACACGATCTCCCAATGAGCACGTTTTGTAGAGATATTTGCACCGGAGGAGGAGAAAACGCGCCTTAAAGACGGAAACTTGTACACTTTTCAAATTTACTTCCAGTTTTCTCCTTTTCGGATGCAAATATCTCCGCCAAACGAGACCATTGGGCGATTCTGCCCTTTGCAAATGTTGTATTAATTAAATTTGCGATAGATTGAAACAATTTTGTCAAAATCTGAGAGCATACGTTGGGAGACCTTCAGAAAACATGCCGGTGGTGCTTTTTTGCGCAGCGTTTTTGGAAACCCTGTTCCACCAAAATATGACGCATCCTTTCCGAGTGGTTACATATGATCTTGAGATTAGCGGCCTAGTGGGGCCTGTGAGGTTTTGCTAAGCGTGTGTGGTCGTTGGGGAGAAAGTGGGTGGCTAAAGGTTCGGTAAGTCTCTTAAGCCGTGTTGATGTGGTGAGAAGACTAATCTTTGGCCTTTAAGTGGAGCCTTATTATTTATTCTCGTCATGTCACAAGGAGCAGCAGCACCGAAACCCGGGTATTACTGAGATCTTTCTTTGAGATAGCGGTGAAAAAAGTTGATTCCGCTCGATTGATAAGTTTCGTAACTTCCTCTGGAAATGAGAGATGTTCAATTCCCATCTGTTTCCTTAATACGGAATTTTTTTGAAAATTTTGATTTGTTTTGGGAAATTTGGTTGCTAATAGTGTATATGTATTTGAATGTCCACACATATCGCCAAATTTTCGAAATTTTCAAAAACAGTGGATACTTAAAAAACAGACAGTTGGCGATTGGCCTAGATGAATTAGATGATGATAGAATTGAGTTTCTCTTTTGTGAAAAAAACTGGAGGAAACCGCTCAAATTTATGGCAGAAATTTTGCACATATTTAAGAAAAATTTAATAATTTAAAGGATTTAATTTTACTTTAACTAATTTAAGTGTTAATCAAAGATACATATTTCAGACTTTAACGACCCGGCTGGTATAAAAATTAGCAACAACATTTTCAAAAACGCTCACAAATAATGAAAAAACATACAAAATCAATAGACACACAATATTCCTCCACAAAATCTCTTTAAAAAACAGTCGCAAATAGAAAAAACCTTTGTTTAAATACGTATTTCCACGATTTTTCGTAAATACTTATCCGCCCTCTGATAAGGAAACGCTTTTAATCCAATTGCAAAAATTTAGCTTTGGTTAGTTTTGTCCAGAGAGGAAGGAGTCGCTTGATCTCAATTTTTCTGGGCGAGATTCATCCACTTTGCAGACAGAGTGGATCCCCTCAACTTGTTTGATCCTGGTACACATAATTCGCCCCTGCAAAACAAGCCGGGTTTTTCCTCCTCCTGCTTTCACCACTTTCTCCGGGAGAAAACATGTAATGAGATTACATAAGAATTGACAAGAGTTTTTTTCTCATCTTGTTGTTGTGATATCTCGAGTTTAATTTAACACGGGAATAATTGTCCGCCTACAGACAGACGTATCTGCACTCTTAGAAAACTTGTATTAAATCATTACTAACACGAATACATATACAAATGCACTGTTGAAAACAGTGGAGTCACATATATACTCCGTACTGGTATTGATTTGGTAATAACTTACTACCCGATTGGTAGTAGTTTGTTTCTGAGTGGTAAATTTTTCATTTTTTGACCTGATTTTTTTATATAGCTCGCTACACAATTCGTAGCTTGAAAAAGGCTCCATTGTGAGAAGCAAACTGCTACCAAGTCGGTAGGAGGTTACTACCGAATGAATTCCACTGCGGAGTATATGCCAGATTGTTGATACCATGTATTAAATTTTGAAACGTTTTGTTGTTGGCACATTTTTAAAAGCTTCTAATGATCACATACAAAATTAATTTGGTGCTGGGATTGGACAATTATGCAATGTATATTTATGCATTTTTTTTTTCGACTCAAATAAATTTAGGGAATTTCAACCCTTTATTACATATATTTAAGATTAGTTCGTACAATGAGAATTCCAAACACAACTATTCTAAAAAAAACGGAATAATCATCATACAAATGCAGCTATAATTAGGCCATGATTTAAAATATGCCGAAAACTTAGAGATATAATTTCGTATTTCATTCATTCACGAAAAACTGAAAGAAATGGCTTTATATGATAAGGAAATAAGAAGATTCAGCCTAACCTGACACCTAAGTTGTTGACATACCCACGACGCCAGGTAATGGGTTGGGATCCTCCCTGGGGCTGTGGGTATGTCAACGCGTCCCTAACCTTACCGATGCCAAGTGCTAGGAAATGACTGAAAATAAAGAACCTTCCCAACCCGGGTACGCTCGCATTTTTTGAAATTTCTATAGGTTCTTTAAAAGAATTTAGGAAAGATGTGCCAAATGCAACTTAATACAAGAAGTAAAATTAAATGCTAATTACAGTTTAGTCTCCCACGGCGGTGGATCTTCTTGGGAGGAGGACTTTACTTGTGTCATCAGGGGTAGGAATTAAACACTGCCTCTGACTCACTCTGCTTCATGACCACGTTATTTAGTACAATGACAAGTCAATAAATAATTCTTAGGAAGAGATTTGTAGAATAATACATGCTTATGTAAGAATATTTTAACTACCTGAAGGTGGGAAATTTTATCAAAATATTATTTTAAATTGAGATTAATGTTTATTCTATTGTTGATCATAGTGTATAGTTTATATTTTTTCCATTTTCGATGGAAATTGTCCATCAAAACTTTCCCACCTCGCATGCAAACATGGAATTCAGACAATATTCGTCCGAAAACCATGTGCCTAAAGTGGGACAAATAATCAAAATTGTCCCCAAAGTGATTTAGAAAGTGAACATAGGACTTATATATCGTGCAAAGACCATAATAAATAAATATATTATCGTACTTCACATTTCGAGACCCATTAATCCCTGATCGAGAGACATTAGTCAGGTCTCTGCTGAGAATTTTTGAAATAAAAAGCCAGAGGGGCTGAAAATGGACACATTTAAAATAATGACTCGATTTGATATCTTTAAATGGACAAAAGGGGCAATCCCTACCCTCATGTATGCCCATTGACTCAGCCATTTTTGGCGTTAGACCAGTATTGTGCAAAAGTTTATAAATTACGTCTTGTTGTTGGCACATTTTTAAAAGCTTCTAATGATCACATACAAAATTAATTTGGTGGTGGGATTGGACAATTATGCAATGTATATTTATGCAAAGTTTGGTTTTACATGATTTATAATTATGTGAGACGACCGTTATGCAAGGAAAATTATGTAAAGTGACGGAAGGCTGATTTTTAAAAGTGCAGTGGTGTTAGTGAAATTCCAACTTTCTCGAGTTTTCCCTGGTTCCTTTGTATACGTGAAATTTGCTTTCTTCTTCTTTCTTCGCGTGGAGAAAGTGGTGCTTGGTTCGATTCAGAAATGCTCCACTGACTCAATATGCACGCTTGGATGGATGGATGGAAGGATAAATAGTTTACAAAGTCGGGCTTTAGAAATTGCATCACTGTCAAAGGAAACGATGGGCTGTGCAGAGGGGATGGTGGGGATTAAAATGTGCCAAATTTTTACAAATAAAATTTGAACGGCTTTCCTGCACAAATTTTGCACACTTTTATGCAGAGCGATTTGTGGAGAAAACTATGCAGAATTGTGCACATACGGTTCTGCAGAATAAAACATAAAAATTTTCTGCAGATTATGTAACCAAAAATTTAGCATAGTACAATATGCACCGAGGTTTTGTCGATTAATTTCGCAGTGATTTCTCCTCGGAATATTAAGGAATTTTGGGAACAGGGAAAACATTCTGTGAAAAAAATAGATTTGCATTGAGGCAATTAACGCAGTTATTTGTAACTCGGTAAGTTTTTATAAATAACTTTATAAGCACTTACAAAATGAAAAGATGCCCTTGCTCTGAGTAAGTTTAAAAAAATTTAAAAGCCAATTTTCCTCAGAAATGTGCGTAAAATTTTGTAAAAGTTTGCCGATTCAGGGAATTTTCAAGTTAATAAAGACTCAATGTCTTCTTACAATATTGTTTCTCTAAAAAGCTAATTTTCCATGGAAGCATTTGCAAAATTTTGTAAAAGTTCGTTAGTTTATGGAATTTACAAGTCACTACTGCATGAATGGGTTCATTATTTCCTATAATTTCACTGCGTTTTAGGGAAATTTTAATCCAGAAAATTATAAAATTCACAAAGATCCTGATAAAAGTTTGCGAAAAATGGTAAAGCTTTTCGCGAAAAGCGAGCATACAACAGATTTGTTTGGTTGTTATGGTGCTGACAATGGGGGGATTTTTGTAGTCGCGACATAAATCTAATTTACATGTGTAGCCCGTTAAATAAATAAATGTTGACATTTTGCCCTGCGTCGTTAACCCGCGGGGAGAAAGGTGTGTTGAGTTGGTGACTAAAGTGAAAGCAGGAGTTCTCTTTGTCTCTTTATTATTTTACTACCTTTTCCCTCGTGGCATTAGGCTCGTATAGTTTTGTTATGTAAATAAGTCCACTACTTGCTCCCGCTACGACAG